GTTTTTATTTTTACCGTACTAAAAATTCTTCTTTCTTGTTTAACATGTGCATGCCCAGCACTACCAAAAACAACAAGAATCAAGAGTAAGTTTTCTCAGACTCAGTAGCAATCAAACGTTCAATCCGCAAAGAGAAGCAACTAGCATCGATCGATGCCCTTGACAGACCGACATTTCTTTTAGTTCCTCATCGATCGACAACTCAGACATACCGTCGATCAACGGTGAACCGCGAGTTACAATGGTTGCTCCAATGGTATAGATAAGGGATGAGAATCAGGACCTGCGTGATCTTGAAGGTCACATGCGTAATGCACCAGGTTATAAGATACATGATCAGGGGGTTGTAAACCCTGAACCTGAACTAGGAGCAGACACTGCAATAACTCAACCTGAAGCTAATGCCCAAGCTGCTCAGGCAAAGACACTGGCAGACTACAACCGTTTGACCAGTACTACGCCAACAGACCCTCTATTCGCTCTCCAGCTTTTCAGAGACATGATTTTGAGATCAAGCATTCTTGTAGTGCATACACCTTACCATGGGAAGTTACATGAGCATCATATGGACCATCTAGAGAGGTTTGAGGATCTAGTATCTGCTATTAAAGCTAATGGAGTCCCTAAAGACTATATCTTTTGCAAGCTCTTTAAGTATTCACTTGCTGGAGAAGCTTCATATTGGCTAAAGCAGTTGCCACCAGGATCTCCTACATCCTAGGTTGACATTAATAATGCCTTCATGCGAAATTTCTCTGATGATGCGTGAGTTTAGGATTTTAGGAGCAAGATTGCTACTTTCACACAGAAGCCTGGATAGTCTTTTAAGAGCTTCTGGACCAGATTCAAATCTTACTAGCGTGACGTTCCACACCATGGATTTAATGAAGTGCAGCTGCTAAGCATTTTCTTCAGAGATATTGATCTGCACCAGATGGTTCTAGACACAGCTAGTGAGGGTAATTTTGTTACCAGAAGTCCAAAAGAGGCTAAAAGGTTTATTTAGAATCTGGCATCCAACAACAGCACCAACAGGGAGCATATTGATGATGTTAGGACAAGGTTGGATAGTGTTCATAAACTACTGAAGAAGCAAGTTAGTTTTGTGGAGGAAGTGAAAGCTAGAGATGCTGAAAGTGAAGAAGAGGATGTGAATTACATTGGTGGAAACGGTTTCTAAAGATCTGGAAATCAAGGCTACAATAGAAACTCTTATGGCAATAGTCAGAGGATAACTACAACCATAATTCACAGCAACAACAACAACATGACCTATGGGTCTTCTTACTACCAGAGACCACCTCCAGAGACTCAAGAGAACAAGCTAAATAGCAGTGGTTGACAGAGTGTTTGAGGGACAATATCAAATAATTGTAGATTGTTGGACCGAGATTTGGTACAAGTCTCTTCCATTAATATTGGTCGTCGATCACCATTCTAGATTGGGTCAAATGTCTTAGTTGTCAATCTCCTAGAATCTTGGCCTCGTTCAACGTGAGAAGAAGTCAAGGCTGATGATGAGGAGCACGTGTAACAACAAAAAGATAAAAGTCCTTTAAAAGGACAAGAGAGCTATCTTTCTAGGCCAACTCTGGGGAGCTTACGAGGGCTATGACCATGAATATCACTATCTTCCTATTTAATATAAAGATGATTATGTGTTTATTAGCTTGCAGAGCATCTACAAAGATCATATCATTCCCCACGACCATGTCGATGACGTCTACGTAATACTCACGACATCTAATCTTCTCCTTCTTCGATCCTATAATTTACAAGAAATAAGAGCGCTAAGCTCGCGACCAAAAGAGACTTGCATCCATTTCTTCCCCATTCTCATGAAAGAGGAGCTCATGTTCATGGTCTCAAGACCACGAATAACTCCACCGATGTTCCGTCCATCAAATACGTTCATGTATTCTGAGATACTTCTATGTTAGATCAAGAGTAATGACTGTTCATACGAAACCTGATCTAACGAGATCACTAGCTCATTATTCTTGTGTATAAACGATGTCTACCCAAGACGAGAACCGATGAAACTGATCTCTCATTCGAGATGATAATAATCGAACTACATTTAGACTTGATCCCTCAACGAGGGTACGTAGGCAGCTCAATCCCGAGTTCAGTCACGATTTTTCTCTCCCCGAGATCCTGATGTTATTCGATATAAGAATAAAGTCCATTTTTGTCGACTCATACCTGACTACATCGTTGTGTTCTGAGGATATCGTTGCCCACATCCTTTTTCTTTCCCAGCTTTTACATTCTAACATTATCAAATACTTAATGTAGATTTTCGGATCTACATAGACTTCAATGAAAAGATATATGCTTTGTATCTCAATCTTAACACCAAGTTTGAAAACCTCAATACCCATGTGAAGAAGTTGGAGAATCAGGTAGTCAAGACAAGTGAGGCCATTAGGAAGCATGATACATTATTAAGGGAAAGAAAGAAGCTGGACAGAAGCACCACGTCAATGCACTGATTGATGATGATTTTTTGGGTTGAAGTGAAGAAAGAAAGTCTTCAAGAAAGCAATTTTCATGTAGAAAGTACTATGTCTTTCGGCAGTTTGCACTGGTGTTTATCGACATCCAGCGCTGAGCACTGATCGACATAACCTGCAGAATCAGTGGCTTCATGAATCTTTTAATATCGATCGACACAAGGCTCAAAGCATCGATCAACGGAACCCTGCAGCGGGACTTATTCGCTTGCCGAGTAATGGTGCAAGCTTGTTTGCAGAAATCCGACTACAAATACTTCTGAGCAAACTACAGACACTTCAGAATCCATGATGGTTGACAAGGCAACAGAAAAAAAATTCTAGAAGGAAGCAGAAGATTCCCAAACATCTTCGCAGAGAAGCGAATGAAAAAGAGATAGATGGCTTTGCCAATAGAGTTTTTAAAGTTTCTTTAGATACTCCATCTGATGAAGCTTATTATACTCCTTGACTTTATATGTTTTTCAGGGAATCCAAGGAGACAGATGAGGACATTGAGAGAATGTTCAACAACCTTAGAGAGAATCTCAAACAGAAGATTAATCTCAAGAAGAAATAATCATGAGAAGTTTACAACTCGATGTTTCATAAAAGGGCACGAATAACCGAATGATCTTTGTGATACAGGATCATTAGTAAGCATCATGCCTAGAGCTATGGCAGAGAAGCTGAACCTGAAAGTAGAGCCTTCGAGTGGTTCTTTCACCTTTGTGGATTGTTCTAAGGTGAATTCAAGAGGTATAGTGAGAGACGTTCCACTACAGATTCCGAATGCCTTACTCCTAGCAGAATTCCACGTGATTGATAACAAAACAGATTGGAACTCTTCCCTATTACTTGGAAGAGCTTTCATGGCTACAGTGGGAGCTATCTGCGACATGACAACAAACAGGTTGTATCTCTTTCTAATTGATCACAATAACTGTTATGAGCCTAAGATCGTCCGATGAAACTGTAGAAGAAGAACAAATCTCGAAGGGTTGTTCGTGTTTGAAACCAAGTGGAGGAAGAAAAAAACAAGATTATTGATTAAAAAAAATTGATGATTTCCGATAAAGAAACAAGGGTTCTCCATTAACCCTAAATCGCCATTGATATAGATTGAAAGTTTTGATGGAAAAAAGAGTAAAGTGATTTCCAAAATTAGGTAAAACACAATTTTCTATTTTTTTTACTTTATGCTTTTACTTTTTTAGAAAAATTTAAATAAATTATGACATATTAAGAATAATTAGGTTAATTGAAGGATATAATAATATTAATAAGAATCAAAATTCTAGTTACCAAAATAATCCTCTATAATTTCTATTGAGACATATCTAAATTGAGGGTGTCTAATTTTTTTTTCCATTTATTTAGTTCTTGAATTGCTGGTAAGTGTGTAAGGGCTGTTCAATATGGTAATACCGAACCGTACCGAACCAAAATAGACAATATGGTTTGGATTTGATATATACCATATAAACCGAATGAATATGATTTTATAAAAACCGTATGATTTGGATATAGTTAGGTTTATAACCGATTAAACCAAATAAACCGAATAAACCGAACAAAACCAATCAAAGAAAAAATATATAAATATATACATTATATAACCATTTATTTTCTTGGAATAGTCTATTTTTTTTATTCCTTGTGAAGATATATCTTAACAAATTTATTTTATTTTCTTCAACTATTATCTAAATTTGATTTGATTTTGCATGTTGTAAGAAATTGTGAAATTAGATTGTATCATGTAATTTATTTGGAAAAACAAAGAGAAAATAAGAAAAAAATGTACAAAACTGAATCATTGGTCGTTTTGTTTGTTGTTAATTTCACATTTTTATATTTATGAACACGTAGGATTATTTTAATAAATGATAATTTTGACAATATGTTTTTTTAAAAAATTCATATAATATGAAACCAAATCAAATAATCATGTTATTTGGTATAAAAGTGAATAAATCGAAAATCGGTAGTATAAATACTGAAACAAACCAAATTAAATATGGTTTTAATATGGTAACTAATTTTTATAAACTGAATAACCGAAAACCGAAAAAAAACAACCGAAAATCGGACCAAACACCAGATTGAATAGGCCTAGGTGTGTGTCCTTTAGGTTTCGTTTTCGAAAAGTTAACCGGAAAAAAAAACACTCAAATCGATTTGTTCTTCTACAACTCTTCTGGTTCTGGTTCGACCAACAACCTGAAAATGAATTGAATCCAAAGGACACCAGGTTGATTCCTGAAAGGCATGGCTGCCAGGTGTTTCTTAAAATCTAGCGCAATAGACAAAAACACCCTTTAACTGAATTTCCTATTTTACCCTTTTTCTTTCTTTCTCCAATCATTCGTCTTCCCCCGCATCCTCCGCAATCAATCAGCCATGGCGGTTTCTATCTTTACACCTCCAAAAACCTCCCTCTCTCTCTCCACCTCGCTTCCTCTTTCTTAACCACTCGCCGTCACTGTATGTAACTCGATTCCAATGGCGATCGTGACGGGAGATCGCTACGTCGAGAAGCTACAGAAGTTTCTAGAAGAAGAAACCGAGTCTCTTCTCGAAGAAACCATTGTTCTCAAGCTTAACCCAGCTGGTCTTCACTATATTCACCTCCGCCTCGAGTCTCTCCGCGAACTCGAGCGCATGCTCTCCGGCGCTCCTGTTGATTACCTTCGCGCTTACGTGTCCGATCTCGGAGACTACCGCGCGCTCGAGCAGCTCCGTCGTATACTCCGAATCCTCACTTCGGTTAAGGTCGTTTCCACGCTTCCTTCGCCGGCTCGCGATCCGACGCCGTTGTCTCTTATTCCCTTTGGTAGGCTTAAGGTTTTGGAACTTCGTGGCTGTGATTTGTCTACCTCTCCGGCCAAGGGCTTGCTCGAGCTCCGTCACACCTTGGAGAAGATCATCTGCCATAACTCCACTGTTAGTTAGTTAGTTAGTTAGTTACGTACTTAGTTAGTTAGTTAGTTACTTAGTTACTTAGTTACTTAGTTAGTTAGTTAGTTAGTTAGTTAGTTACTTATTGAGAAATTGAACATCAACTCCACTGTTAGTTAGTTAGTTAGTTAGTTAGTTATTCTCCTATGCATTGTTGTGGTTATTACCTTTTTTCTGTAGGTTGTATTGAGAAATTGAACACTATTAGTATGGATTATAATGAGCAGTTGATGTTATATCTATGAATCATTTGAGTAATGTGTTGTTACCAATTTGATATAGGATGCGTTGCGGCATGTTTTCGCCAGTCGAATTGCCGAGATAACGAATTCGCAAGAGTGGAACAAGTTGGCTGTTGTATCATGTTCTTGTAACCGTCTTGTGCTCATGGATGAGTCCTTGCAGCTTCTTCCAGCTGCTGAGTCGCTTGATTTGAGTCGGAACAAGTTTGCCAAAGTGGATAATCTTAGGAGATGCACCAAACTGAAGCACCTTGATCTGGGTTTTAATCATCTTAGAACAGTCTCTCACTTGAGTCAGGTGGGGAAAAACTTCAGGCTTCAGTACATTCATGCATAAGTGTCGTTTGATGAAAGGTTATGTTTATTAGATGAGAAGGAATGCTGTAGTACTCACTTGTCCCACATGAAGCTCGTATTCTTATTTTCATTTGGACTGGCGAGCTTGTCTAGGTAGTTTTATCAGTTAGTTCTGAAAACATGCATCTGTCCTGAAGCTTTGCTATTCACACTTGGGAACCATAACCGGAAGTTTTGGACAATGCAGGTATCCTGTAATCTTGTAAAACTTGTTTTGAGGAACAACGCTCTAACTACGTTGCGTGGGATTGAGAACTTGAAGTCACTCGAAGGCCTTGATGTTTCCTACAATATTATTTCAAACTTTTCGGAATTGGAGTTGCTTTGGAGTCTTTCACTACTCAAAGAATTGTGGCTGGAAGGAAATCCAGTGTGCTGTGCTCGATGGTACAGGGCACATGTCTTCAGCTACATTGCTCTTCCAGATGGTGTAAGTTTTTTTTTCAACTCTAGTTTTGGAGATTAGAATCTTATGTAGACGACAGAAATTGCACATTGTCTTTGATTTGTTATGCATCTTGTGTTGTGCTGATTTTCAGCTGAAGCTAGATGGCAAACAGATAGGAAATAGAGAATTTTGGAAGCGGCAAATCATTGTGGCCCATAGACATAGTGAGCCTGCAGGCTACGGATTCTATTATCCAGCTAGAGAGGAAGGTAACGAAGAAGAAAGCTGTACTAGAAAAAAGGTAAGTACCCACAAGTCCACTCACAGGTTGCACACACATGCATATATTATTTGCCCTTGCTTGTATCGACCCTTTTCGTGATAGTGAATTAGGAAAAAATGTAGAAACGAAACAAAATTCATGCTAGTTAATTAGGCATCGTGGTGACTGTTTTGGTAAACGTTCTCAGCCATGCACATGTGGCATTCAGCTTCTTTATTTGTTCTTTTCAGCATCTTGTTTTTGTTGTTTGATAAATAATTAGTTAATTACTGTAAGCTTATTGTTCGGTTTTAACCTTCAACAGAAAATGATCAGCCGTCTCGCTTCTATTGATTTCGAGGAAGAGAGCACCAACGTGAATTCTGACCAAGAGACTGTTTCATGTGATCACGAGAACAAGGAGAATTTAAAGTGTGATCAAGATTCTGATATATTCGGTCTTATAAGGAAAGTTGAAAACCTGAAAAAAGAACGTTCTGTTCTGTGGTTACGAGAGTTCAAAGAATGGATGGATCAATCATCAAAGGATTTTGCAGATGTCAGCAAAGACAGATATGACATCAATACTAGAGAAATCTCAAGGCAGCATAGTGGAACACGAAGATATTCGTCCAGGTCTTTACGAGCTTCAAGAGCTAAGAGCCATAGGAAAATTTTGGAATGCAATGGTTCATCTGTGGATCACAAAGCCCGCATGGATGATATGAAGTACGTTGAAGGTAATGAAACACAAACTATGACTAGTGACGTCTCTTCGTTAGGCCTTCAAGCTACAGATCAAAATCAGGAATTTGTGTCGGTTGAACCAAATAACCTGTTTTCTACAGCCCCTTCGGGGGAGAAGTTAGCTGAAAATGGAAATGCGTCAACATTGGATATAGGTCAGGAAATGATGGAATCATTTTCACCATCAATACATCCTGGGTCACCCCCTCATTATCAGAAAGATGTCTTATATCGACGGCAGAACTTGGTCGAAGAAATCTTACAGCTGTCTGCAGATTCTTATTCAGTCGCATCATCTGATAGCACAAGCAGCTGCAGTGAAGATGATAACTATGACTCTGAGTCTGAATATTCGAATCATGAAAACAGTAGGTTGGCAGATCTTCTTAATGTGAATAGACTACGTGAGGAGATTCCAGGGTGTGAACCAAAAGTAACAAGCTCTCTTGATTCTCAACCGGAGAATGGTAGCACAATGGAGACTTTGAAGACTGATGGGTCGATGAAGGAGACTACCACTAATGTTCTTTCTGAATTGCATAATGGTGGACGTGTTTGCCATTTGGTTGAGACAAGGAAAAGCATAAGGAAACCTATAAAAAGATTTGTTTCCTTTCAGAAAGAGGAAAGTTGCATTAATGCGGAGGCATCTCACAGTAGTGAGGCAGATATTGGTTTTTCTGGTTCAAATCATTTGCACGGAAGTTCTCTATCAACGATTTGTAGTAGTAGTAATAGCACAATTAGATATTTGGGAACTGAAAGAATACATGAAGAAAAGGGCGATTCAGTAGAGGACTATTTTTCAGCAAAACTGGCAGATTCCAGCTCTCAAGAAACTTGTAGGACTTACATGAGTTGTGATTTTTTACTACAGAAAGGTTCTACGTATAAGCAACGGTGAGTTTTTGTACCATTTGCGTGGTTGTAGTTTATTGGGGTAAATGGTTGTAATATAAGTCCCTTTCAATATGTTTATACATAGGTTTTGGTTTTTGATTCTTGACTTGCTGAGGCAAATGAAGATCATCCTTTTTAATATGTCTAGGCTTTCTTAGTATTCAAGGGAATTGTTTGCACTAAAGTTAGATGCATTGGCTTCCTTAAAGTGGGTGATGTGTGAAAAATCATACTTGAATTTTGGTGTATCTTATTTATCTTAATAGCTAGTTGAGAAGCATCATTCTACCAGGATGCTATGTGTTCTCTACCCTTTTGACAGTATTCTGAAATACAGGGAAGTAGCGTTGCTGCTGAGCACCCTAAACAAGCTTTACGTGCTACTCTTGGGTGTGTCTACGAATTATCAAGGTGAGACTAATCATCGGTGTTGTCTGCCTATCATGTTATAAATTTTGCCGATGCTGAGTTCTTAACAGTCATGGGTCTCTGCAGGGAGCACCTTAAGTGTACTGTGTTCCCATGAAATCAGCGACTTAAAAGACGTTTCAGTTGGTCTAGGACTTCAGTTTGTAAGGTTTGTCTTTTTCCGGCTTTGTCGATTTGGTTTATGTATATGTTCTGAATCTTTCTCGTTCGTTCTGTGTAGGCTACGCTTTTTAGAGGATGCAGAATACATTTTTGTTACGAAGTGCATTGAGAGGACAACAGATTTACTCAATATCATACAAGTTTTCGATCCTCAGGCTACAAATTCTAAATGTTCTCTGCAAAGGTAAGCTTTTTAACTTTCAGTCTAGAGCCGGTACTGTAAATTTTTACTGTCGGTAATTTTTTCTTCCATGTTAATGGCAGTCTAGAGAATATTCAGGTGGACTTGTTTGAGAAAGAAATTTGTGGAGGATTGAAGCTGAGTATATTCCAGTACAATATTCTCCAGTTTCAGAGCAGTACCCTTGGAGGTATATTCTCTCTTGTGTATCTAACTATCTAATGATATCCTAGATTGACAAAAAATGCTTCACTAATTTACATCTCCCCTTAAACCACACGTGAAATAAAACTTTATAGTGCATCTTCTATTGATAATTTTGCAAACTCGTGATGTCCCTTCTTTCTGATTACTCTGGTTTTATTACATATGGCATTGATCACATTACCATGAAAAATATTTTGGGTCAATTGCATGTTCCTAACAAAGTGCAGTCTACATCGTGGACCATGAAACAGCAGAGACTCGTAACTACAGTCATCTATGTTCTCAGTGTCCAAAACGTACGATACATGCTATGATTGATTGGAAACTAAAGTTTTTGTTTGATTTGATGAACAGAAGCGTCGTGGCGTTGGCGGTCGCTATTTGTGGCTGGTGGGCGTCTCTTTATATGCAATGAAGACTTCGCGCAACTTAATTCTCAAACAGCATATTCTTCTTCTGCTCCGTATTTCTCGCTTGACTCGTGCTGCTCCATTTCTGATATATCTGAGATGGTAATAAGTTTCTTCATTCTTCTTCCCCTTTTGCTCACACTTCGATTTTCATGTACAAACATGGATATTGTTCTTCTCTCAGATCATTGAATCGCAAGGTAGGGTTGTGTTACTGAAGATCAAAGAGACCAGAATAGTGGGTTTAGCTTTATGGAAGCTTAAGTGGTGCAGCACTGAGAATGCACTCAAGTTTGTGACTTTGCTCACAGCTCTTCACCCTGATTCGCCACAGTGGCCGTTGGCTGTAAGATACAGAAGATAAGTCTGCTTTTTCTGTTTAGTTTTACGGGTCACTTTCTCTATGTAGTTATGTATATAGGACGCACGAATGTTGTTCATATTCGTTTGATTCAGTTTGTTTAAGCGTTAGATCATCTCTAGTCCCTTCTGTGTTTTGTAAACACAATTCAGTTTTGTATAAAGGTTAAAATTCATTTCTCGATTCGATTTGGAATCGACACAGTAACATTGGGCTGGGGAATAAAATCGAAACAAATGGTATTTACACGCAGAGATGATGTAATGTTCAAACCGCTTAAGTTTAGGTAGGCAGAACAAGCTAAGTAGCAGACGACTCCAGTTCCAAGTGGACCACGTGGATACACTTTTTGGTACCACAAACACAAACAGACAACAAAACCAATATGACATGTTAGCAGCTGAACTGATCTCGCTTTGTCCGGGCAAGTTCGAGCGGTAATCTCTCCAATGCCATCTGAAAAATAAAGTGGCATGAATTGTTTACCTGTAAGATCAAAATCATAAGCGAAGATCATATAAAGCTGGATTCATACTCACCCATAGTCTTGGAGCCGTAGGATCAGATTTCGGTTGTGCTTTGGCTAGTTTCGACTTGAAACTGATGGTGATGCATACCTTGAACTCAACTGAGAAGGGGCTGTTCCACAGAGACATTAAGGACCACAATGACCATCCATCCATCAGTTAACTTTGAGGTTTGGAAAGCAGCAAAGAAACTTACCCTGCGAAAACGGATGGACACACCAGAAGCCGAGGGAGTATAACATAGATTGGTAGAGTGGTATTACGGCAGACATCTCCATCTGCAATCTGAAAATGTGACAGAGAGGGAACTGTCTTAATCTCTTAGAAAGCAATTTTGATATTACAAATGCAAACCAAAATGGTGATATTTAAACCTGTGTGGACTGAATCAAAGAGGTCTCAGTAACAATTCTCTCCCCCACAATTATTGACTCAACACGGAGTAGATGAATGTCGATAGAAGTAATAGGCACTGAAGATGCTTCCACTGTTAACTCACCACTAAGTGGATCCTGCAAAGAGCACTGAGTGGCTAATTTTCCGGTAACTCGGAAACCACCTAGTTATTGAGATCAATAATCCTTCCTATTAGCAGCTCTCTCATTAACAATAAAAGAAAATGACGAAATCACACCAAAGTGAAGGAAGACAAACCTGTCTTAATCTCGGGAAGTAAAGGATGTTTCTGAGTGTCTTGAGTGATGTAGAAGATAACCATTTCTGGAGGAAGTGGCCTCTCAGGAAGATCAACTTCAACCCCCAAAAACATAACAAAAATTTCAAACTTGTCCACAGAAAAACGAATAAAAACTCAAAAGGAAACAAAAAAAAGGGGTACCTCTACCGCTCTCGATAATAAACTCCATTGTAGCAGATAAAGGTTTATGCAAGTATCCACGTGGTATATCTGCAGTTAGCAGATACTGTCACAGATTTTTTGCTATCAATATACCAAATCTCAGAAGAAATTAACCAAACCCTTTTCAAAAAATGATCTAAAAGAAAAAAAGAAGACTGACCTGGATGTTGATATTTGTTCCATGAAACGTCTCGTAGAACTTTTCCACAATGCTTTCCCCAGAATCCCTCAGATTCACAGAGAAAGGTATCTACCATACCAGCATTCAACAAACAAGTTTAAATATGTGGAAGGGTTGCTTAAATTGATGAAAGCAAACATTCTCAAATGGTACCTCTGTAGTTCCGGGAGGGATTCTCCCAGAAGATCTGACCTCCATCGTCTTCTTTCTATGACAAAGAAACAAAACCAGTTTTCTTTTTGTTGAGTAACTTAAAGAGAAGAGCGAGCGATGATGCTTATTACAGTATGTGAATAGGTTTGATGACACCATAGAAAGACTCTATAACTCCAGCTGATCCTCCACGTACCTGAGAGAGAGAGAGAGAGAACACACAGTCAGAGTCAGAGTCAGAGGAGATTAAAAACAAATCCAAGGGCAGGGCTCGATGGAACCTGCAGATTGACTGATCCATTGACTGATAAACGAATCGCTTGGTGAGAAATGGAATTAGGAGATTTGATCACGATTGTTCCTTCCACTGCTTCCTGAGATAATTTGAAAGCCTGAGATTTTCAAAATTCCCTTTTTTGATAAGCAAGCAAGAGATCCATTACTTACTGAAGAGCGATAGATTCGATTTGATCGAGAAAGCTTGACGGTCACCGTCGTTGTCGTCGTCATTGTAAACCTGCTTCCTTCCTTCCACCAGGAGGCAGGTTTTGTGTTTGTTAATTTCAACGGCGAAATGATTAAGACAGCAAGAAGTTCTCTCTCAAATAACACAAACTTCAAGGTGTGTCTAAGCGGGTGTTTGAGAATGACAATATATCGCAGGTAGTAGTTAAATTAGCGTGTAAAAGTGGGAAATTGTATGAAGTTTATTTAGTTCTCTCAGAGAGAATAAAATCATTAAGACAATCTGTTGGGAGAATGAGAGATTATATCTTCATTTCAACTTAAATCATTTAGACCCAAGTTTCAGTATTTCTTTTCAGTTTCCTCAACTCGTTACTTACGAAAGATTGTTCCCTTCTTCATCTTGCAGGTACATGATTACAGAACACAACCAACTTTTGTCAATACAATGTATGGTTAGTTACAACCTTTTGTAATTTCTATAACCTCTGTCTCTTCAGAACAATTTCTTAACAAGACCAAAAGCCTTTTAACTTTTTGAGACAACAAAGGATGTTATCATGATAAGTATACACAACATACTTCAAAGTAGCAAACGAACCGATGGAATTTTTTTTTAAAAAAGAGAGGATACTAATTACAATAAGTAACCCTCCTAAGTCAAATCTCCATTCTCTCTCGTACTAGCTAGTTGTGAAACCGATCAATCACTTAACTCATCTGATCTTCACATGGCAGTTCGTAACGACATAATGGACAAACATGACTTGTCTCTAGCCACTTCACAAGACACTCCTCGTCAAACTCATGACCACAAGCTAAAGGCACAAGTCTTCCACCATCCTTAAACTCTTCCATACAAATTGTGCACTCTTCCAAGCTAATCTTCTTATTCTTGTTCCTGCTTTCCTTTTCGATCTTCTTCTTGTATACTTTCCTTATTAGGGATTTGACCACGACCTTGCTGGCGGGTCTAAACTGGGTGTTATAACTGGTCTCATCAAACGAGACTTGAACGGCTTCTTCAATCTGAGACTGAGAATCAGGAAAAAGATCCAACTGAACCGCCAAAGCACATCCAAGAGAATAGTCACTACTACTTGTGGAACAAGTTGCACCATCAATGTAGACAACTAGTTTCTTCATCGCATCTCTGATAACCTCTTCGTCGATATCTGCTTCCACCTGCAGGAAACACTTCAATTCTTGTATAATTTGACACTCGGAGTCTTCGTTCTCATCACCACCGAAGAAGTCTTGTATGGAAAGCGACCTAGTCGTGTATGGCGTGTCAAAGTCATCATCATCACCAAAGATCGTGGCCGTGACTGTGATCGTTCCAGCATCTTCCGGTTGAGGATTGTTATCGATTTCGTGGTCGAAATTGGTTCTCATGATTACTACTTTACTCAAACAACACTATCAGTGGGTTTGACCTAATTTTCTACACCAGTTGTTTTGTTTTGTTGGTAGTCAGGGTTGACTTATGTATCTATAATAATAAAGTTCACTCATCTGCTCACACAAGCTGCCACATCCTTTCTTGATAGGGGGGTTATTCGACACATGTCGAGCTGTAAGTGGCCGAATTGTTTCTGATTCACACCAAACAATTGGATCTATTGTTGGGCCTTGCGAAAATTTGTAGCCCAACTAATAAAATTCCTAAAGACCCGTACGTAATTATTTTTCTTCTTCCACGACTTTCCTCCTTCCCATCTCTGCGACGCCTCTGTGATAGCAGAGATACACAAACCTTCATTCATAACCGTAACCCCTCCCCTCTCCTTTAGTTTTCCATTTATTTTCGAGATTATAGACGAATAATCCAAGCATCTCTCTTTAAGGTTCCTGCGTAACTCTTCGCTTTCTGACAAATCGCCTAGAGCTCACCTATAAATATGGCTCCCTGTTAGGATGAAGATTAACCACTCCTCCTTGCTCAATTGAAATTGAGAACAAAGAATGAGTGGATTTTTTCACTGTTTAGTTTCTGCTCACTACAGAACTGATTATGTGTGAATTTGTATCTGTGTTTGTGTGAATGTTTTTGACTTTGACTTATTCTTGCTCTTAAGACATGTGTTTGTTGTAATTTGCAGCTAAGAGCTGGTACCTCTTTCCCGTTTAATTAGCTGCTAAGGTTGGAGCTAATGTCACCCTTACCATGACTGAAGCAAAAGCAGAGGTATGAAAAATTATTGATCTCATTTGTTTCATACGTGGTGGTTGCTGCAGTTCATAGGTCAAGTTTTCAATTTTTTATTTGTTTTAAACACAGCTTTGACCAGATATGCTAGCTTTGTGTGAAAGATTTTTCAAGGAACTGGAGAGTGGTTGGGACAGATGAAGGACAACCGCTACTCTTCAAAGAGCCGTTGGCCAATGTAGTTTTGTCAGATAGTCATGAGAAATGGAAAAACATCACAGATTTTGATGATCCTCTTGATGGTATCCCCAAGTAAGCTATATACACACGAACAGATAAAACTACAAAATCTATAGACTGACATATCATCTGATGCAGATTTGCTTCAAGCTGCACAAATAGAAGAAAGAGGAATGTTAGATAGAAAAAGCTCTGAGACTTGGGAACAAGTTGCTATAAACGAGGCTGCTGTGGCTGTTGTGGCAGTGAATTTTCCTGATTAGAATATAGAATTTGAAGGTTTCTTACATCTCTTTTTTCTTCAAACTCCTTTTCTAGATTTGAAGCTTGGTCTTTAACTAACATTGCAATGACCTTGACCAGCTGACAATCAACCCTAAAGCTGGAAGAGATTTGGATTATGTATGGGTGAAGATGGACCATATCAATTCAAAGAAAGCATGTTTAGGTCTGTGGCTTTAATGAAAACATATTCGATTTCTTCATTGAGTCTTTACCGTCTTTTCCCTTTATGGTCTCCTCACCATCTGTCAGCTAGCACCTCATGCTGCAAATGGTGAGAACCAGGTGAGAAATATGATCTCTTTTGCATACAGTATCAGAAAATACACACACATATATATATGACCTTAAGGCTTTACTATAAAAGAATCTTTTCTAATGATTTGTTCCAGTTAAATATGATGTGAGCAGAAACATCAGATAATGCAAGGTCAGCTGATATATCACGGGTTCTTGGTGGTCTCTCTGAGAAACATCATAACTTGAATATGATCATATCAATTTCCATTTTTTTCAAGTCTACCGACATTAACAATTTCCTTTTTACTTTTCTTACCCTTTTTAACATACAATTAGGTTTCTTAAAAACAGATTTAACTATCTTCACATGGATCATTTAATCTGCTACACCTTTCACAAATATGCCATAAACTAATATAATATGGACTTCAGAAGACACATGAATTATTAAATCCCATATATATTTCAATGTAATTCTATAGATGGATGGCCACTAGCACATTTGATGTTCGGTTTTGTATAAGTCCTGGTTTAATTTGTTCAATGAGACAATAGGCAAGACCTAACGTAAGTAATAATTTTTGCCATTCTATTTCTTTTGAGCCTATGAAACACACAAAATTCATTATATTTATATATCCATATAGTACACAAAAGATAGTATAAGAATTCAATCATGTTTTACTCAAAAGGACAAAAACCAGTCCTCTGCTTCTTCCCACGCACTCGCTCTTTTTATCAAACTCAATCCTCTGCATCTACATTATAACATTGGTGTTGTTCTCAACTTTCTCTTTACTCGCTCAAGCCTCGATCTTTATCTTCCGTAGTTGAACTCCTAGAGCAGCTACAGTCTCTCTTCTCTTGTTGTTGACCTCCGATCCTCTAGGCGTAGAAGGCAGCAAAAAAGCCGGGCTGTTAAGAGGAGTTGTTGCATCAACAGATCTTGAAGGCAGAAACTCTCCTCATTACAAAGTGAAATGTCATGTTTAAACATGAAACATTCTCAATCTAATGTTTCACAAACTGGGACAACTTGTTGTCTATTTTCACATCGTGGCAGTTATTTTTCTTGAAGGTTTGTGCTCTATCTAAGGTTTGTGCTAGATTCAATTTTGTATTGTACAATAGGAAACTCACTGCTGAAGATGCGAGCGAACATAATTAACGTTTGCAAAATCAAGACGAACATAGCAAGAAGTAGACAAACTCAAATTTTACTTTCTTGAAACAACAATTTATTACATGAGTTCCATTAAGACATTTAAGACATAAACCACGCATACTGGTTTGAGTTCGATCAATTTTATCTCATCTGAGAATATTGATCGAGAGACACAAACTATTGGAGTATGATTCCTATATCAATTAGGAATCATATAAACTAGATTTAGATAAGCTTTAATATGTTTTTCCTATTCTATTTAGGTTCTTTATGATTTTCCTGTTATGACTTAGCTTATCTTGGTATATAAACCAAGCTTATTCATCAATAAAATCAACTTACTTTTGATCCTAAACAAGAATTTGTCATGGTATCAG